TTGGTAGGTTGATCGGAGCATGCATTGGGGTGGTCATTGGAGCAGTTTGCCAGAAGGATTGTGAATAGCCGTCGGAGAGATCTTCGAGGTGGTCGTCGGAACTGTCGCCGGAGCGGTCGCCAAAGTAGGTGGCCGCCTCCGATGGAGATAAGGGATAGAGAGAGGATAAAGAGTAGAGAGAGAGAGAGAGAGAAAATGATTTGGATTTGAAATTTAGTAAATTGAGGTAATTATATTATATTATAATTAAAAATATTTAATTAATTGATTTATCACCTGATTTTTGAAAAGATTTTTGAAGTTTGTTATTTTTGATATGTANAAAAAAAGGGTTCTTAAAAAAGTCAAATATTGGCAAGTGACACTTTTCATCAAATTTTGTGTTAATTGTGACCGATTGTGATTGGTTGTGACTGATTTTGTGTTAGTTGTGACTTGGTCATATACAGTCACAATTAAGATTCAATTGGTCACAGACAGTCACACTAAACACAAATTTGGTCACAATTAGTCATGGATGACGCGTGTCATTGGCTTGATTATATAAAGTGACTTGAAATTTTTTCGATAATTTTTTAGGAGGTGGGGGTAGGGGTGGGGTGGTGGTAGGTAAATCCATGGGGGTGCAGTGTGATTTCCAATTTTAATTTTCTGGAGATTTTTGAGTCGTCGGAGCGATCACCGAAACTGTCACTGGAGGGGCCGCCAGAGTAGATGGTCGCCTCCGATGGAGAGAAGGGGTAGGGAGAGGATATAGAGTAGAGAGAAAGACAATTATTTGAATTTGAAATTTAATAAATTGGGGTAATTGTTTTATATTATAATTAAAAATATTTAATTAATTGATTTATCACCTGATTTTTGAAAAGATTTTTGAAGTTTGTTATTTTTGATATGTAATTCTTATATATAGGATTTATGTATTGTTCATTTACCTAAAAGTCAAGAATTTAAGATTTATTTATCAAAAATCAGGTGATTAAGAAAATTTTACAAAAAATCAGGCATTAAATCCCGACACTCCCTATTCATCTCTCTCTCTCTCTCTCTCTCTGTCTCTGTCTCTCTCTCTCCCCCTCCCTTCTCCCTCTACCCCCATTATCGCTGCCTACAACCCAAAGCCCTTCACCTCCATCACCGGTGAAGATGCCAGAGAAAAGGGAGCGACGATTTCTCTGTAATAGCAAGCATTGATTTGCGTCCTTCTCTTCGCCAATTTCTCTGTAATCTCGAGCGTATATTTTCCTCTTTTTCGAGGGCTTATCCCCATCGGATGCAGAGGCCGAGACAATAGGGGAGTGAGCACCGAGCCTGAAATGCTTTTCTTGTGAATCTATGGACAATGAGATAAATTGTAGCAATTTTTATTACTCAAAAGAATTTTGGTGGTTGCAGGTTACGTGCACCAGTACAATTCTTTGGATTCCCAGCTTGATGTTTTAAATTCACTATATTCTCCTCAGCAACAATCAAGTTCTTTGGAAGGATTGAGGTGGTGATATCTATCAAATTTATATTTTCAAATATGAGCTATTCTCAGTTTCTCAGAAGAGGCGCCGACAAACAGTATATGGACCGAGATCGCAACAAAAATCGCACTCACCTTCTAAATCTAAAGTGTATGAGTATCTTTCCTTCTTCTTGCCATGTGAAAACGAGTGAAATTCCATGCTTTGCTGTATACTTAGTTTATTGTATTGACTAGACTTCAGGATGCTCTTCTCCAACAAGGATAGAACTCAATCACAAAATCCAACTTGTAGGCAATTGACTGTAAGTATTCTTAGAAAAAGTGAAAGAGAAGGGAAACAGATTGACAACAGAGTGTAGGTGGTAGGTGGGCCATGGGGTGGGAGTGTGATTTTCAATTTTTAATTTTCTGGAAATCTTTAAATAATCGGAGCGACTGCTGAAAAAGCCACCGGAACAGTCATCGGAGTGAACGCAGATGAAGTCATCGGAGCGGCAATCGCTAATGGCCGTCACCGATGGAGAGGTGAAGGGAAGGTAGTATAGTGGGGTGATAGAATGTGAAAGGTGAGGTGGCATTGGTAAAAATAATTAATGTATATTCTATTTTAATATTTAATAAATTTATTTACCACCTGATTTTTGAAATATTTTAATAAGTTTTTTATTTATGAAAGGGATAATTGCAGCAAAGATCCCAAACCTTTCAGATTTTTGCGCACTTTACCCTAAACTTTGATTCATGTCAGCGGAGGTCTCAAACCTTTCAAAAATATGCGCCGGAGGTCCATCTAGACAGATTCCGTCCAGTTGACCGTTAGTCAACCTGAAAAGTCAAAATTTGCCCAATTTTGACCCAATTAGTAAGGGCAAAATGGTGACTATACAATTACTCCTATTAAATAAGTTTTAAAAATAAATTTAAAAACTCCAAAAACAAAAAACAAATACCTCTCTCCCCCATCCCTACCCTTCTTCTTCAACCACGCCGGCAACAGCAAGTAGCCACCACCCACGCCACCTGCCATCGCCGACCACCACCACCTGCCGATTCTAAAGTTAAAATCTGCATAACATTATTATATATTCACAGAGACCTTATTATTCATTTTAAACCTGGAAAAATATAAATAACCCAGTTATATATTCACATTCAAGCAGTCGAGTCATGAGTGTTGTTCTTGGAAAGTCGGTTACGTTTTTTGGGTTTGATTTGGTACTGAGTTTATGAAAGAAGACCCTATTTTCCATTTTTCATGTTTAAGCTTTCAATTGCTTTAAAGAATTGAATAGAAGCTTTCTTCTTGGCTCTGTGAAGGTAAGATTTGCTGCACCTTTCAATTTGCTGATGGTAGCTGTAGAAGAATAGATGGAGACAAAGAGGAGGTGAAAATCTACTGAGGATTATTCAACATCTACTTAGAAAAGTGCTTTTACATAGAAAATAACTATGTGCTTTTCATCTGTTACTGAATTTGAAGATTTGTGACTTTTCTTGATTTGGGGTTTCTGGGTTTTGGTGTGTAAGTGGTTTAGTGATCTAGGAGTTGCTGAAAGCCGTGTTCGGTAATTGGAACTGAAGTTTTTGAAGGGTTTTGTGATGTGGGCTTAGTGTTCATCAAGAGGATAAGCTGGATATTGGCAATTGTGGTTTGGTTTAAACTGAAAATTGATGCTGGGTCCTCTGCAGATTTGATTGTGAGGCAGACAATTCTGAGTGAGCTTCACAAAAAAATGAATCTATTCGGCAGGTGGTGGTGGTCGGCGATTGCAGGTGGCGTGGGTGGTGGCTACTTGCTGTTGCCGGCGTGGTTGATGCAAATTTTGACTTTTCAGGTTGACGAACGATCAACTGGACGAAATCCGTCCAGATGGACCTCCGGCGCATATTTTTGAAAGATTTGGGACCTCTGCTGGTACAAATCAAAGGTTAGGGTAAAGTGCGCAAAAATCTTAAATGTTTGGGACCTTTGCTGCAATTATCCCTTTATGAAATGTGAATTTTAAAATTTGGAATTATGTATTGTTCCCTTTTTTTAAAACCGAAACAACCATTCCTTATGACTAATATAAATTTGGATTATTCCCCTTGTGGGTGGGTGGGGGGGTATCCAATGCTCCCTCCCTCAATGCATGCTCTCCCAAGTGAATTCAAAAATGTCGACTCGTGGCCCCCACCACCTAATGTGAGTGGGATCAAAAGATTATGTATAAAATTATGTATATGTAGACTAACCCTATAAATTTTACTACCCACCTTTTTTTTATTTTGAAAGTACATTTAATTTTAAGGGAAAATAAATAATTTTTAAAAAAGAAAAATAACATAAATTAGCTTCATTATTGGAACATTTCAAGACTAATTAACGGCAGTTTAAGGAAAGAAATTTAGAATTTCAAGAAAACTAATTAGTTACAATAAGACATTTTGTCTTGTTTTATATAATACGTATTATATATGATCTATAATTTTTTTCGTATTATATCATAAATATTTTAATTTAATGCGTAAATATGATTTTTCTTTTTTGAACATAGAAATTGATTGTCGAACGAATCAAATGATGAGTGAGTACCATAGGTCTAATGTTTTCCATCATGAAATATTATTTAACTTGACGACATTTGATGCTAATACGCTCGTAAAAAATTTTGTGTAGGGGCTCATGATAATTTTTCATCAAGGCCTCAAAATTTAGAGAACCACGCTACAGTGCCCGCGTGGTTGACCGCATGAATGACCACACACACAGAGAGAAGGGGGGTCGGATTATTTTATTCGGGTGGGACCTGCGCCTCAGCTGTGATGGCGCGATCATCCATGCAGGTCGTCTAGCATTTTTCAAATTTAGAAGGCCGGCCTGGCTTTTGGCAAATAAAGAGCAGTTGAAAATAGTAATGAATAGTAAATACTGTCTAAGGGCACGACCTCCCCGCAGTCATCCATGCGGGTCGTCTAGCATTTTTCAAATTTAGAAGGCCCGCCTGGCTTTTGGCAAATAAACAGCAGTTGAAAATAGTAATAAATAGTAAATACTGTATTCTTCTTTCTTTAGTTATTAAAACCATACTCGTGTTTTAATAGACACGATTTTTTAGCATATTACACTATAAAACGCTGGAAGACGCCATCTCTTATGGGAGGGACCATAGCTGGTTGATCCAGCTTATTTTAGCTAATTAATTGCATGTAATCTATTCCCTGTGGGCCTCTCATCTATTCAGATGAATCCACATATACATATACATATAACACGCGTACAAGCACTCACGTGTCGAGTTATTGTGCTGCATGATCCATTATTCACACACACCTAACTGAGAGACTACAATAGTTGGCCATAGCTCAAAGCCCACTTAGCCAGTACCCACAAAAACGCAATCTGTGGGCATTGGCTAGGGTCTCCCTCTACAACTTCCCACAGAGATGGCTCAGATCAATTCTGTAGCCCTCTGTTTCTTTATCATGCTCTTCACTTCTGCTTGATTATAATGAATGTATGCTTTGAAATTCATCTTCTTGGAAGGAGATGGCTTCTTATCAACCAAATCTTCCATTAGCTTTAGATGCTTTGTATTGTGAGGAGGAACATTGGGATAATGGAGAAGTTGAAAACAGATATAATAAACGTTTCACAGAAGAAGAGAGTGGATTTCTTGCTGATTTCATAAACTGTCAACATCCAGTGGTGTTATTGGAACAGGACTTGCTTTGGGAAGATGAAGAGTTGAGTTCTTTATTGTCTAAAGAGCAGGAAAATGAAATGTATAATGGGATTCAAGAGAACCCATCTTTGGCTAAGGCTAGAGGTGAGACAGTAGAGTGGATGCTCAAGGTTATTGAATATTACTCTTTTTCAGCTCTCGCTGCGGTTCTTTCAGTTAACTATTTGGATAGGTTCCTCTGTGGGTTTCAGTCTCACAATGAGAAGCCATGGACAACTCAACTAGCAGATGTGGCTTGTCTTTCTTTGGCTGCAAAAGTAGAGGAGACTCAAGTGCCTCTCCTTTTAGACTTCCAAGTAAAATTCAAAACTGTGATGGATTTCTTTTTCTGTAAAATGGTTATAGATGATTTAGAAGGGATTGTTGTTGTAAATAGGTGGAAGAGTCTAAACTTGTGTTTGAGGCAAAAACTATTCAAAGGATGGAGATTTTAGTACTGTCCACACTGCAGTGGAAGACGAATCCAGTGACCCCACTTCCATTTCTTGATTACATTGCAAGGAGGCTGGGATTGAAGAGCAATTTGTTCTGTGAATTTCTCAGGAGATGCGAGTGCTTGCTTCTGTCAGTCATTACTGGTAAGCCTCTTCTCAACATTTTCAAAATATTCCCTTTGGGCTTCTTTACTCATTCTCTTATTCTTGTTTTATATCAATTGTTTAGGCGCATCAAATGCATCCTGAAGCCAAAATTTCCTCCTCCCTTCAGTTGGGTTGAGAAGGAGAAAAGTTGGAATAAATTGAAATATGAAAATTGAAGATATCGCATACTAACCTTGAACACAATAAGGTGATCCTAGTAACTATTAAGAATATATTAATCAAGCATCCACCCTAGCCATACATAAATAAACTTTCTCCTTCTCAACCCAACTTTTCTGATAAAGCCATACATAAATAAAGCTATCAGCGTAACAAAAATGTCAGTCCAATGTATGGAGGAGACACGCACAACAAAATGCACCAATCCAAGAATTAAAATTGCTATAAGTTGTATGCTAAAATAATAGGTATTGTTGAGAAATTCTATCTTCAAGGACCAGCAAAAACAAAATCTGATTTCCTGGCAGATGGATGTACCTGTTTCCAAACTCCATAACCATATGAGAGTCCAGGTCTAATTTTGTAACTCGAAATTACATTTGATATCTATAACCTTATGAATTATGTCCTACGCCTGCATAGAAATTAATGTAATTAGAAATCATTACAATGAGGAAGCAAGAAGGATGTGGACAAGAAAATAGGAGATTTTAACATACATGCTAAGCCGCAGAGGACAATTGGAATCAACGCAGCTGATAAAGTGCTCAAGTAGTTGTTTCGACAATGAATGACACTCCTCCCGATCACGGCTTGGTCCAGTTGCATGCACTATATCATCCTGCGTCAAAATTTTTATTGAATGTTTAAATGCAAAATCCTCAAAAACAATAATTTTGTTTGTTCATCACATAAGCAAATATATAAAGGAAGAGATACGACAGATATCAAATGTACCTCTTTGCCCTTCTTCTCCGGTTCTTGGTTGGTCTTTATTGCTTCTGATATATGCGGATGTTCAAGACAGGCCTCACGATCTCTCTCATAGCATTTTTGACGAGTCCGTGTCAACGAACCATCCACGTGAAAAGTGCTGCAACTTCCAGTTGATCCTATCTTTTTGTGTAGATGATACAAGATCATCATTGTCGAATGTTTAACATTCCGAAGTGTATTAAACTGGAAGTGTTTCTCCTCGCAAAATTTTAGAAAAGAAGATCTATCCTTAATGAAATCATTATCAAGAATTAGATCATTATCCTCTGTGCAGGCAGGTATGTTCTTCACCAAATTCTGGAGAATAAAAAAAAATGCTTTCAAAACCATGAAATTTATTTGCAGTGAACTTTTGAAGGAATTGGAATTTACCTTAGATAGTAAATGGTTTTTTCCACAAAAGAAATATCATTTTTCAGTCGGACGACATTTCAGTAGAAGGCACCTGAGATAGAAACATGAGTAAAAGAAATTTCTTAATCAAATCAATGAGAGGCCTTTCCATAAACAAAGCACAGATTGACATGGGGTATCAAAATAAAGAAAAGGTTTCTAGCCGGAAGACATGCATACTCATGTTTGAACATGTCAATAATAGAAAAATAAAAAACAAAGTACAATGTCAAAGATGATATTCACCTTTCACATAAATGAAAATTGCATGGCTTACAAGACCACCGACTTCCGGATAGTATAACTTCATGGCAGTTTGTACAATTGAATTGGAAGTGGAGAATGAAGAAGTTTTCCTTCGACTTTTTGATTTTCTTGCCCAACTATCAAATAAGAAAAACAAGAAAACAGATTGCATCAGTAGATTATAACAAGCTTACTAATTTATGTACATTAATCAATGATATTCAGTAAGTTTGAATATCTTCAGTTGGTTTCTAAGCCCAAGATCGACAAGAAAAACGAGTAAAACATATGACAATTATCCACGATAGGTTATAACTTTTAAGTTTACCTCCATATCATGTTTCTTGTGTTGAACTGATTTTAAACCTATATAGTAAAATTGACATACTACTCTAGGCGTGTTGACCAGTGCAGGGTGGGTTAGATCCAGGAATTTCTTTGCAATTTGCTAAGGAAATACTACGAGGCTAAATCTCTTTCCATCCAACAAAAATTCCTTCATTGAAACCTAGACACTTTACTTTCTTACCCTCAATTGTTTGGCAAGGAGTTTAATGTGGAGAGACTATATCATTCAACTCTAAGGTCTCTAAGAAATGAGACCTCAATGCATTCAAGCGTCCAATATAAATAACAAGTATATATGTCAATCCAATTATACACCAAAGGACCATAACATAAAGAGTTCTCTAAGAAATCTACCTCTTTCATCACCATTGCATCCTTTCTTCCATTGTCTCCAATTCTTTTTTCAAGATTTCCAATCAAATCCTCGGCAACACTTGACCAATATGCACCATCAAAATATGGTAAGTGGGCTAATGTTATTTTGACATTGCGCTCCACTTTCGAAACAAAAAAGTGATCATAGAAGTTGTGGTAAGTGGGCTAATGTTATTTTGACATTGCGCTCCACTGTCGAAACAAAAAAGTGATCATTGAAGTTGGTGCAATCCACCACAATGTTATGCTCCATTGCTTGTTTAATCATTTTCTGATACCTGCACACAGAAAAATTCACTGAACAAATAAGAAAGCAAAACTTCAATACAAATAGACTACAGTTCTGAATACGTAATCCAACTGCTGCAATGAACTCATTCAGGCTGAATTAGCACACTAATAGTTGCACAAATGTATATTGGAAAAGCTACTGATGAATACTTCATGTACTTGCTATATTATATTTTAACACTATGCACGAGAAAGAGGGCGAAGGGGGAGAAAGAAAAAAAAGATATATACTAGTTGTGAAGCTGATTTTGATTTGGTATCATTTGCTCCTTTGGATGGCAATAGAAAATGTAATCATACCCTTCAGTAGGTGGGCACGCCCATATGTAGCAAGTTGTAAAACCGAGATTCTTACAGTAATCAAGGTATCCAATCTGCAGTAACATCAGACAAAAAAACAGCTCAGTCAACTTCAATTGCAAAATAGAGCGAGGAAGAAACAATGTAGTTGGAGACATAGAAATTACCAGTATCTCATGGTATACAAAGGTACGTAGAGAAGCACCAGCAACTGTTTTCCTTTTAGGAGTAAAATGATTAACCGAATCGAGATAAGAAATGTAGACGCAACGCGAATTGGGTTCTCTGCAATCTGATCCAAACTCTTGGACGTACATAGCAAAGAGACATATATCTACGCCTTCAATGTTTTGGAACAATAGGATAACCTACAATTTGTAGAAAGGATTGTCCAATCCAACAATTAAAACTTAAATGTAATAGAAAAGAAAGGAATACAATAAGATCAAAATTGAAAATATTTTCAAAAAAGAGCGTAAATCTGCATTTCATGCATAGCTTCCTCCAACTTTAATTCTATATGACACATTAACATTTGTTATATCATATAATAGCTTCATTTATTCATACATTATCAAGCGTGTGAAGTCAAAAGTTAAGGGTAAAGAAGTGGAGAAGACTGCTATCAATTCAACATACAACATATCCCCTCCATAAATCACAACATCACTTTATTAAAAAGAGCCTAATTGAGTCTACACTAGACATGTCCTAATTCCCTTAATTTATCCTCAATCACTACTAGCTAGCTCGTTGATGTATATTTTCATTTCCTATCTCATCCATTCTAGTATGACCACACAAGGCAGCAAGTCAAAGGAAAAAAATGAATGATGAACTAATCATCCAATTTTTTTTGAACACATTCATATGAGCCAATACATCTTACCTTAGACTTATATGGAAACTCTGCGGGATACTGATGACCCTTGAACATATTTAGAAATTGCTGCTTCACTTCTAATTTTTCATTGGCAGCTAAAACAACTCGAACCACAAGATCGGGTACCTGTGAGAAGTGAAAAATACTTTAGATTATTGTATATATCTGGGACATGCATAGGGAGGAACTTTAGCAAAGGATCCGCGAATGGAACCATCAATCTTAATAAAATGACAGAAGTGTAATAAATTATAGCATAAATACACGTATACTTTTGTAAAATGTACGTATGGTAACTTAAGCATATGCCAACAGTTTTAATGAACCAAATAAAGTATGTACAACACCTTCGAGTAAGCATATTTTTTTTGAGAATTTTTTTGCAACGTTTCATTAGCAGAAACCTATTAATAGAAGTAATCAAGTTTTCATTCCAATGATATGAATAAGTAACTGGATGAAACAATTTTTGTAACTGGTATGTGGCACTAATGATGCAAACTATTCTAAATCCACTTGCAAGTTTTTAAGGCTACGACTAGTCAAGGCTTGTAATGGGCTGAGAATAGATAATATAATGAAGATTTACCAATATTACAGACTTATTTTTAGATAAGAAATAGGATTAGTTATGAAGGAATCCTTATATTTGATTAATTCCCTTTAGGTTCAATATTCTCACACCGTGTTTTCTCACTTTTTTTCTATTTTTCTTTACTTTATCCAGGCAATAGAAACTTGAAAATAGCAGGAGAAAGTTTCAAAACTTTTAAAAACTTACAACATCGTGTCCTGCTGATTTCGCCTCTTGGCGAAGACTGTGGGAGAGTCTCCACTCTAAATGATCGCTAAGCTTAGTTGTGGGAAGACTTTTTGCCGCGGTAGGTATCGCCTTCTGACCAACAACATTCTCCCCTATGCGGCATCTCGGACAAATATACTCCTTCGTCTTGTCCGAGTCGATTTCATAGTTGTACAAAGCACAAATTTGATGTACCCAGTGCTGGCATTTATCACACATTACCCACTGAAAGCGCGCACACACACAATATTAAAAGGATAATAGTTTAAACTGTAAAAATACAAACAACTAAAGGTTTAAAGGAGCTGACCGGTTCTTCATCTACTTCTTCATTTTTGTCTGCTTGGAGGTTATATTTTGAAATATACCGTGTCCCACCCAAAGATATTCTGCTACCTTCCCTCTCGAAGCAGGAGTTGCAAACAGTGATTTGCCCATTGTTGGTCCTATGAAAAACTGCATTTAACGTGATGAGTTTTTGGCAGGATGAACATGAAATAGACGGCGGACTGAACATCAATGCATCTTTCGCACATAAATGGCAGGCATTCTCGCTGGGGAACCCATGTATGATGGAAAAGCATTAATCCAACATTATAGATGCTTTTTATTAAACTAAAATTGAATGTAAAAAAAAAAAAAATGACAACCTGATGCTTATTCAGACTAAGCATGTGTTTTTTTCTCTGATTTGCATCCAAAAAATCCGTTAAGGAAACCCCGGAACTCTCCATTTTCAACTGAAAATAACCTTTGAACTGTGAAGAAGACGACTGAGGAGAGAAGAACTTTATTTTCTCTGAACCATATATATATATATAATATAAATTTTTTCATGTATCAGTTAGTGGTCCTTTTGTCAATTGCACCATTTCTGAAAAAAAGAAATCAGAGAGAACTCGAGTGCGACTGCATGTCAACTGTACCATTTCTGAGAAAACTCAGACTTAGCCGGCTCAAAACAGGATAAAAGGAGTAATCGTATTCATCTTCACTAGGGATGAAAATACAGTCTAAATATCGTTAATGTAACATTAAATGATAGGAGAAATTAAATAAGTTATTTAATTTTATCTTTCATTTAACCTATCATTTAAAGTCAGTTAAACTGTGTTTTCATCCCCACTGAGGACGAAAAACATTACTACGATGAAAAACAGGATTTTAAAGTACTGATGTGGCATAAAAAAATGAAAGACAATGGCCACAAGAAATAACACGTGTCAGCTACCAGTTGAAAATGGAAATTCTTTTGGGAGCAACTATTTTGATTTAAGATTTTCCTTATTTTTGTCTTAATTTTTGAGATTGTTTCGGGATATTAGAAGAAGTTGAAATATTACATTGTTAATACAATTTCAAACTTCTCACAGCCTAGTTTTCCTATTCCCTAAAAATATACGACACAGTCAATCGTAGCGAAAGTTACAACTCGTCGAATTAGGCCCGATTTTTCTTATTTTTGTCTCAATTTTTGAAATTATTACGGGATATCAAATGAAATCAAAATATTGTATTCTTAATACAATTTCAAATTTCAAAGTATTCACGGCCTAGTTTCCTCCATTCATAACGGCGTGCGAAACAGTCAACCGCATCGAAGGTTACCACTTGTCGAATGAAACCGTTCCAAAATATATAAACAGTTTTTCTTATTTTTGTCTCAAATTTCGAGATTATTACGGGATGTCAAACAAAATAGAAATATTGTATTCATAATACAATTTTCAAAGTTCTGACGACCTAGTCAAAATATTTCGATTTCGTTTAACATTCCGTAATAATTTCGAAAATTTAGACAAAAATAAGAAAAATCGTTTATAAATTTTGGAACGACCTACTTCAACGACTAATAACTTTCGCTACGATACCGTTTCGCACGCCGTTAGAAATGGAGGAAATTAAGTTGTGAGCACTTTGAAATTGTATTAAGAATGCAAGTGTAGTACAGGACGAGTATCCAATGGTTTATTTGGGCCTGAGAATGAATATTGTCTTCATCTTCAAGTAAAGCCAAACATGACATTCAGGTTTAGCCATGCTGACCATTTAGTTATTGCAGTGGAAAGTGGGATCTGAAGGTACGGTACAAGTTGGGCCATCTATTTTGTTGTGGTCAAAAGTAATGGATTTCAGGTTTCAATGAGGGGGCATTTGGGGCTTGCTACAAGATGCCTCGACTAGAGAAGTTTATTTTTATTATTTTTTTAAGTACTTATGAGTTATAATTCTTACGAAATGTGTGAATAATAATTAATAAAAACAAGAAAATATGGTATGCCCGACCATAACACCCCAAGAGGTTCAAGATAGAAAAGAAAACATATGCTGACACAGTAATTATGCCGTATTTCGGCACCCATTTATTATACACACACAAAAATTAGGACCTCATTGAGAAGAAGGACTTAATTGAATATTTCTCATTTTCCTAGGGACTTTTTCTCGTGCAGAAAATATTCACACAGCTACTTGTATTGCTTTTTTGCATTGCATTGCTTTTTTTGGCCACAAGGCCTACTCTGCGTATTTGTTGAGCTACTTGTAGAAAGGTCTAATTCCGTGTAACCATTTTAATTTCATTTTTGATGGCAATCCAACACTAATGATTACCACTACCACCGATTCAAGCCAAGGTAGTGTAGAGATGACAGACACAAAAGAAGCATGTCAGTACATAGAAGATTCGTGTAAGTTACTAGTTTTACCTAAAAGTAAGAAAAAATAAGTTATTGATGATCAAACAAAAATATTTATTCTCAAGTCTTTGTTAATCGAAGTTAAAAATAAGTTGAAATTAAGTTTATGATAATAGGTAAAATAATATTGATTAAAAACAACAATATGTTATTATGAAAAGTAGGTTTATTGATTTAAAAAAATCTGGTAATCTTGCTAAAATTTTGACTCCTAATTCATTACCCCTTAAATAATATTAGTTTTCCACTAATCATTTCTACTTATTTTAATTTAAAATCTTTTAAAAATTCTTCCCAAATTGTATTCACCAAAATCTTTAAATACCCCCTTTTATTTTATGTTGCTTTATTTATTGATTTTTTGCGCATAATTATTAATTTTTAGCTTGGGGCAAATAGGTCTTCATTGGGGTGGTTGTTTTCTCTAAAAACAAGGTTTTCCTAAGCAAAATTTGCAAAATATGGAGTCCTTTCTTCTTTTTCCTTCCAAATCATAATCTTCAAAGTCAATTGTTTTGTTGATTAAGGCAATCCCCTTCAATAAGTTCTCGACATTTGGTTGAATCAATGAGTATCATTCATTCAATGTATTCTAAAAACTCTATTAAAAAAACAAGTCTCGATTGCTTGTTCACTCCATACAACTATACAATAATCCATTACTTATAATTAGTTAAATTATACTCAAATTCACGAAGAAGGTATCATTAATTTCTCCATCCTTATTTCGTGGTATTGAAGAATGCATTAGCCATCATCTTGCCAAGCTGAACTTGAGAAGCAGTTGTGAGATGCATGCCATCTACTCCAAGTTGAAGTCCAAAGGCATCAACTGTAACCACAATCTCCATTGCCTTTTGAATTGCTCGTACTCTATGCATATAATTCTTTACCCCTTGTCCTGATGCTAATGCTACCTTCATATGTATTAATTGTCAAACACCAACAACAATAACAGATTAATGAGATTCGTGTATATTGTGGGTCCACTAATATTTATGAGTAATGTTATTTAGAATTACTAGTGCATACCTGAATAAAAGGAGCTTTAGGGTTCTTCAATTCTTCATACAAACGATGTAAAAACTTCTTGTACTTGCCGCGAAATTCTTTTGCTGCAACTTCATTCCTTGTATCTGTCTCACCTTGATACCACAAAATCGCCCGAATTTTTCCACCATATTTGAGAGCGTCATTAGCTCTTGCGATCAATCGGCTATGTACCTTGCTACTAGGAATTGACCAATCTGTAATGTTAGACCCTCCATAAGCACAAGGGACTAATACTATGACACCAAAATTTGGGTCCTTTTTCAATATAGCATTAGCAAAGGCCATTCCGGGACCAACCCCACATGTTTTTTTCACATCATCAATTCCTTCATGGAGTGGCTCCTTTGCCTCTTCCAGTTTTGAATCTCCATTTAGTCGAAGAATTCTATTGTTACTCCTGCACTCGATTGGAATGTATTCATCCCACACTCCGTTAAACACCCCACCTCTTCCCGCCATGTTGCTCTGGCCTGCTAATATGAATATGCTTATTTTCTCGTCTTTTCTGAAATTGATTTCTTCTTGAGAAATCATCTCAAACCGGAAGTAACCATAGAGAAGCAACATGATTGGAAAGAATAGCAAATTTTTGTTTGACAAACTTTTCAAGGTAGTGTAAAAGAAACCTTGAGAAGCATTATTCTCTGTCATTTTCTATAGAAAAATATTGTACTAGAGGTAGTATCTAAAGTGAAAATTGCCCCTTTGACAGTGTTGGCATGGTCTCCTGTTAGCACAAATGGTGAAAACTCACAAATGGCTCTTTTTTTATGTACTTATATTTGTATTTAATTATGTCGCCATGCTTTATGAGATTTGTAACATGCTTCAAATTAAAAAGAACACGTTTTGAATGTAAATGTGATGTTTTAGAAAATTAGCACATGCCAAAAAAAAAAAAATTGACACATTTCTTTTTTAGCTGCTTCTTCGTTTATAAGGAAATCCAACCAAGAAAAACTCAAAAAGTAAATTTTGCACACACCATTTACATCCATACCATATAAGTTATCTTTCATGACATTCAACATTTAAAATTTCTAATTTGATTGGGAAAATAATTTTAAAAGTTTGTATATCTTTCTTAATAAAATTGCCTAGTAAGTAATGGACCATACTTGTAAAGAAACGACGGTAATCTCTCGAGTTATTTTGATGTTTAAAGTCAATAAGTGCTAAGTAGATAATCGATATAATTGAATGAAATTATTTTCATTTGAGAAACATTATAATTATATATAGTTGTTAGAGTTCCTTTGTAATAAGTATTCGTGCAACGGCAAATAAAGCAGCAAAGACGTGCCTTCTCGGCTTGCTTTCTCGATGAGGACTAGTTTGAGTGGTTTATCTTGACGGTACTAGTATATTCAAAATTTATTGGACATGTCGTAAATTTCATGTAATATAAGAACCGTTAAATTAATTAAATTTTACAAGATCACTTTATGGTCTATTTTAATCCTAGATAGGAAATGAACTTCGGCCCCTCCGAGGCATTAAAATAGAAATAGATCAATTGGAAATCTGCTTGCATTTTCATTAATATAAACTATGTGATGTAATTGAATTAAGAAAGTGCCCAAGTTTCCATATATTTTCCGATATTTTTGTGTGATTTACAATTGAAAATGATCTCAATTTTTAAATTTTTTTACTTGCAATTTTTTCTTTCCAAGATTTGGATCGTCACCATTTATTGAGAAAATCCGTAACACCTTGGAAATAGAATTTGTAAGTGTAATGACAAAAGCCTCGTTAAAAAGAATGTATGTGTCTAATTATCGTGAACGTAGCATTTTTTTTCTCGTAGCTAATCTACACAGACAGCCCTCTTAAGAATTGAAGATTTTCACCATCTCCTTAGCAAAAATAACAATTGAGATTGTGGCTATACATTGTCTGCTGTTAACTTGTTCTGAGTCTTGAACATTTTGAAATAAAATTTAAGAAATGGTGCTGAAAAAGACATCTGCTAGCATCCTCCCAAGGCGAACCTGTGAGTTGGTGGTGAGATGGAGGCCATCTTCTCCAACTTGGAGTCCCATGGCATCAACAGTTATAACATTCTTCATTGCAATTTGACTTGCTCGAACATTTTCCAGCCAATCTGCTTCTCCCTGTCCTGATGCTAATGCTACCTTTACACCAACATTAACACGAATATGAGAATTACTTTTGGCTTGATTATGTACAATTTCTTAATGCATATTTGGTTTGGTTGAAATGCTACAAAAGTAGATAAAAACTAGCTTGTTTCGTGGTAAGAAGGGTCAAGACAAAAATTTTAATCGAACATGCGCTTCTTTGAATGAAATAATATAGAAAGATTTATATGAACATGCGCACCAGCAATTTTTTAGTCGAGTTCGGCCAAAAAGGTCACGAAGAAGCAGCTTCTTTCGATTGAAATAAACGTAGAAAGAAGCAAAGCCAAACATGGTCTTAGACAATTTCGAACAAAATAAATGTTATTGTAATAGCATCTTTTCTTACCATATCTACAGTTGGTGAAGCCTTATTTAGCTATAAATTAAATGTTATCTGATGAACTTCTCTTCTATTTTAAAATTCTTATATTTGAAGATTGCAATTTCTTCCCATAAGCACTTTTTTTTTTCTTTCTTTTAAATTCTTCAGATACAGATCAAATCTGTGCAATCAATTGGGGTTTTTTCATATAGTGCAAGTCAAAGATTCAGAATTTGCACAAATTTGTTAATTTTGTTCCTTTTATTAATATACTCGACAACAACATTTATCTATCAAGAGAATTTGGCTTCTAAGGTATGAGGTAAATAATTATTTCTGAGATGATCTCACCCTTGTTGAAATATGATCAGTAGGGCCCGTTTGGAATGATTTTGAAGATGTCAAAATGAGATTTTGAGATTCAAAAACCGCTTTTGGGCCAGTTCGATTAATTTTATAAAAAATGTTTCTTTTAATCAGGAACATTTAAAGGCAGCAAACCTAATGTGTCTTTTTTATATGAGCTCTTCCGAAAGTGAAAGTTCTTTTAGATATCAGTTTTTCAAATACTAACTAAAATAGCTTCCTCAAAAACTTTTCTACAAAAAGTAAAAGCAAAAACCTTGTCAAACAGCCCCTAAAATAGGCAGAGACTTGATTGCAAAAGAATTGTAAATACCTGAACAAATGGAATTTCGTGGTACTTCAATTCTTGATGTAAACGATAAAGAAACATCTGGTATTCACTGGGAAATACATAGGAGGCAGCTTCGGTTTCTGTATCTTTCTCCCCTTGATACCACAAAATTGCACGAATTTTTCCACCATATTCGAGAGCTTCGTTAGTTCTTTTAATCATCTGACTTCTGAGGCTGCTGTTAGAACCAGACCAAGCTGTAATACTTGTCCCTCCAATAGCACAAGGGACCAAAACAATGACCCCAAAATTAGGGTCTTTTTCCAATATTGCATTAGCAAATGCCATTCCTGGACCAACCCCACAAGTTTTATTCACATCAATTCCTGAATGGAGTGGTTCTTTAGCCTCTTCCAATTCTGAATTTTCGTTTAGTCGAAGAATTCTTCGATTTCTTGTGCATTCGATAGGCACATATTCGTCCCATTCTTTGTCGTCCACCCCACCTCTTCCAGCCATGTTGCTCTGTCCTCCTAATATGAATATGTTTATTTTCTCGACCGTTTCGGGATACGGGTTTTCTTGACCGATCATCCTAAAAACGGAATAGCAATATAACAACAACATCAACAAAAACAACAGGAAAATCTTGTTACATGGACGTTTCATCGCGGTGTAAAATGTAAAAGGATCAGATTCACAAGGATTATACTTTGAACCAAAAGTGTACACAGCAAGTAGTATTTATTTACAGTACTAATTCACAGCACTTCTTTTCTAGTACGGGAACTAAATCCATTCAAAAGAGGAAACTGTGTAATAGTTTATTGTAAAAGAATTTATTAATATAAATTGGGTTTGGTTAAACCTGAAATTGCAATAACTGTTGGCCACATTAATCACGACTTCTTTGTTTATAAGGAAACTAATCCTACCGACAAGCTTAAAAGTTAAAATGATAAATGATTTAACTTTTAATTATTATTTTAACTTTTAAGCACGATTTGTATCATCTTAGTAGCGGTGAACAAAATTTTAGTATTTTCAAATCCTTTTTTTGAATATTATAATCTGAGCAATTGTGCAAAAATTAAAGTCTTTTGTAGGATGATTTTTTATGCACACGATATAAGACAGATCTTTTAGATCATGACATCTGAGAACTCGAACCGTTTAAATCATGACACTTGAACATTTAAAGAAACCAAGTGGACTTTGAATACTAAGATATCATGATAAACGGTTCAGGATTTGATGTGTCATAATTTAAATGATCGAACATATTACATGTACATATGAGATCATTCAATTTAAGTTTTTTCATGTGTAAACTAATTAAGGGCTATACACAAACGTCTGAATGTTGTCACATACGAAGGGTTAACGTGACAACATTCGGACGTTAATACAGTCTAACATTCCAACTATCAAAAACGTTGCTCCACTTCATGAAACCTTGTCTAAGAATTTTAAAAGGCACAATTGTTTTATGTTACAATTATAATTGTATTTCAATTTTCAATTTTATGTTTCGTATGTATTTGAATTCAGATTTTCAATTTTATGTTGTATATGTATTTGAAGAATTTTTTTCACGTTTTTATTCTTGGGAGGTTAAAGTTCCTCAAAACTCATCTTGGAGGTAAGACTCCACAATAATAATTTATTTCTATATTTCAATACAAACAATTTGCATTCATATCAATTGATATCAAAACTAGACATGAATTTGTCATTGGAGTAACGAGTGGAACATTTTGATAAGATTGTCGAAGTTATGCGTTTGTCCGATCTTGTTGATCTTCCAAAAAACCAATTATTTGCATTTGTAACGTAGGTCCCTTTCTGTTCTTTATTATACGAATAATTTTATTTAGCACATTTGGTACTTAATACCAATCTAGATGACAACATTAGTGTAATTAAATTACAGGTTCATTTAAACGAATCATATAATTTCATTTTTAATTGAACTTATCATATAATTCCACATAAATTGATGCTATAGTATTATTCTTAATGTAATGTGTAGGCTTTCTCGGACAACATTCAAAATCAAACTTGTGACTCTTAGTTTCTTTTCCATTTTGCCCTCTAATGTAAGTGGAAAGGGGTTGGCTTGGTGCATTTACTTGGGAGGGGTATTTCGGTACTTTGGATAGGCTTGTAGGGTGGTAAAATCGACAAATTGTATGAAATGTGTGTCTACCCTACTCCGCCAATTCAAATTGTTGTTTTGTAGGCCATCATTTTTTTAACAAAAATGCTACTTGTATCAAAGTGTATGAAATGTGTGTCTACCCTACTCCGCCAATTCATATTGTTGTTTTGTAGGCCATCATTTGTTTAACAAATAGGCTACTTGTACATCAAGAATTGTATATCAAGGTGTACATCACACTCACATGGGAATGGAACCTACTTGTATAAAATATTTTTTTATTCAAACGGGTCCCACCCCCATGTGAGTGTGATGTACACGCCGATGTACACCTTAATGTACCAGTAGCAAAACCGTTTTTTTAATTGTACATGTCAGCATCAAATCTAGCAAAATCTTATATGAAAAAATAAAAAAATCAGGTCTAAATGAACGAGTTCTTCACGAGTTTTGATGCAAAATTACACTTTCTATTGAGCAAATTGCCTCCATAACAAACCGAGGACTTTACTGTTTGTTATTCAAATTAAAAAATGATAGCATCACTTATCAAAGGCTGGTAAATAAAATGTTCGTAGATCATATAGACAAAACAATAGAGGTATATGTCAACGACATGCGCCTACAGGCCGAAAATCACTGAAACTTCTAGAAGAATCCTTTAAAATACTCTGAAAATTTTGGATGAAACTTAACCCGTTGAAATGTGCTTTTGGAGTCATGTTTCGAAAATTCTTAGAATTCATGGTAAATCAACGAGGCATTGAGGTGAACGCTGATAAAATCCAAACTCTTATAGAAATGCGATCTCCAACAAAGCCTGAAGAGGTGCGAATTTTTGTGATTTAATGCACAAGAAGTTCCAATATATTCTTTGCTTCAAACCACAAGTTCGCCGCTTAAATGAATAGTGAAGCTCAAATTTCTAGAACTATTATGGATTAGATTATCCAACATAGTCTTTCGCAAAATTATCAGCATACTAAAACAAGAAAGTAGGGTGAGATTTTGGGTTCATCTACTACATAAGGACGTTAAAATCTATATTAAAAAAAAAAAAATTAGGAGTCGACCTTGAAGTCGCTCAACAGAGAATTTGAACTAAGTGTTAAACCTAACATAAATTATTATACTCGAATTTAAAGACTAATTGTTGTCAATAAAATATTCATGAGTTTGTGTATCTAAGCAAGCACTTTGAAGAGCCAAAACGTATGTGAAATCAAAAATAAGCTGTTGAGCACTCATAAGCGCAACGCCTCACATGCGACCTTAAGTGCATAATGCGAGCTAATGTACTTCAACAAAATATAAGAATTAAGCTCTGAATAAAACGTGAGCAAACAACATAATTAGTTAGAAGACAACAAATCAATAGCTGCCATATATGTTACCAACTAAAAAGACCCATTTACCCTCAAAACCTGATTAGGAAACTATAAATAAACATACCGAGGATGAAGAAAGGCATGTAAAAATTTAAATAGCTTCCACCCAAATAGTCATTTATCGTCTTATCCTATCTTGAATACTTTGGTTATGTGAGAGGAATTCATTGATCATCATTCATATGTCAACTATAAATGGGTAGGAGTAGTGAATGTGTGGTTGAAATTAATGTTAGGCATTGACCGAATTAAAAATGTAGGGACCTGTCAGGTTTGTGTCTCAATTTTCAGTTTTAAGTTCATTTTCAATTTTTTTGGTTGATAGTCTATTTTCATGTATATATTGTGCCAATATATACATGAAAATTTGCGAAAGTCGATTCTATAAATTGAAGATTATGGATTTTATTTATACTTTCTACAAAGGTTAAGAACCTTTGATAAATTTTTTTCTAACAAACTATTCATTACAAGCAAAGGAGAAAATCTAGAAAATTTGGTTGCAATAAATAATAACATGAATTGAGACGTATGAAAAACTATTGACTTCATTATCCCATTAACATTAATATTGTACTAGACTCTTTGTTAGTTGTAATCCATTTAACTACTTTTGTGTCTATGTGGGTCAGTGGGCGTATACTGTATAATTTATTTTAAATTGTACAAATGGATAAGACAAGTTGGAGTTAACATTCCCAACGGCGAATTATTCTCCCACTTATAGCCGCTTCTTTAGTTAATTTAATAGTCAAATGTAAGCAGGTCCCATATGTGACCATATAATATTTTTTTTCTTCTTATACAAATTATGCCACGAGAATCATGACATGAGTAATGCTACATGAACCGGGTTATTGGCTGAATTTATTTTCAGAAGACACCTGTCAAATTTTGATTGGACATTTTAAAATAAAGAGCCAGACAGG